CTGGCCCCAAGAAGAACCTGCCAATGCTTTTAGGGTGTTTAGCTTGGCTTTGCTGGCTTGGATGTCAGCATGGCGGACACACCCAAGGTCAAAGGCTATGTCGGAAGACAGTCATAATAACTCGGATATTCCTTGTGGCTCTATCGTATTAACCACTAAGATTAACCGAGCACGATGGAGTTAACAAGACGGGCTGGAAGTCAAAAAGGGTGAACATGAATTTCAGGTGATTAGACAAACAGTCTTGCGTATGATACCAAAACGTGGCTGTCTTTTTACCAGCGAACGAGGACTGAGGGTATTGATGGGTGACTAAGCGATAACAAAGACTTGTGCTTCAGGCAAGTCTGGTTACTCACACAGATTTAGTAGCAAATAAAATTGATGTCAACTTTACTTGTGCAGTTGTCATTGTGGCTAATCCAGCCGACAACAGTGATATCGGAATGACAATCTGTGATGGAGGATCCGGGGAGCTTTGGCTATTCTGTCGTGCAGAAGTGAAGACCAGGAATACAGAAGATTCAATACTCTTATCTATGCTTCGGTGACCTGTGCCTGAGCCGCGTTATGAGTTGACTACCTCTGACGGCCCCAGGTGGGAAACGGTGTCGGTCCCTGATGTATGGCAGAGCGTGCCATACGTCAAGCTTACGAACGCAGGTGTTCGTTTTCCCAGATAGCAACAGCCAGCTCGATTTTTCTACTCTCCCTTCTTAATCCTACCGTGCTCTGCTACTAGTACTGTTATTTTGGCTGTCTTTTGACATGGTACCAAGGCCGTAGAACGAGTATTACTAATGCATATTTTTCCGAGCACTGCAACGTCACATAATTACAATGAGGTGGTGCCCTTTTATAAGGTTGTCTGTCTGAGGCTATTGTTATGTCTGTATCCGTGGAAACTTAAAAGGAAGCTGGATCAGTATTACAGTATATACCACAATGCCGTCCGACCGTTTTCATGTTGATGCTCCCCTCTTTTTATTATAATAATACTACTGTGAGTATTTAAGTGACATTCATATTTATTTAGAGCTCATTCAGTTACCTTTAGCGAATTATTTGACAATCCAAGTTCTTCAAGCTCTGCAAATAGGAGGAGACTTCCTTTCAATTTCACCACATCTTCATATTTTACCGTCTTAAGTAATTTATTCCAAACAGAATTTTGGACATAAACCGTTATGTTTTGTCATTTTTAGCATGGTGACACCCTCGTGCCAACAGACTACGAGCAACGCATCAACGAGGCCGTCTTCCCAGGTCTTCAGGGTGGTCCACACAACAACAACATCGCCGCCATCGCCGTGGGTCTGCATGAGGCCGCCCAGCCCGCCTTCACCGACTACCAGAGACAGGTGGTGGCCAACTCGCGTCGTCTG